AACAAAAAAATAAAAATTATATCACTACATTGATGTCATGCACGATGCAAATAAGTCACATTAAATGATGGCATGCACGCAAAACGGAAACAACAAGGAAAGAGCAAGGTGGATTCGAATTTCATAAGTAGAAATGGATTATTTGTAAAATAACGTTGGAAAATACGATCTTAAGCATAATCAAGCGTTCAGAAATATGCACGCTCTGAGCTAATAATAATGAACTTTGCATGAAAACATAAAACTCATCTGAAAATCTTCAAAATGAAGTACTCCATTTAACTGATATCATCCCTCTAAGTTTCCTTCAGTTATTCAGCCAGCTAGTCGTAAAAAAGTTGGAGAGTGAAAATCGAACAAGTGATTTTTGACGAAACAAGAAGCAGATTTAGAAAAAAAACGTGAAAATGATTACTTTTCATCTATTCTACGAATAAAATTAAAAGTGCTCACTTTTCAGTTTGAACAATGAAGTGATCGATAGTCGTCGTAAACCAGATAATCCTATAAGAGCCATAAGTCAGATNAAAAAAGAATTCAGAATTCAAACCAAACTAAAAATTAGAACGAAAGTATTCAAACTAAAAATCAACTTTAAAAAAAACTGAAAATCGCATCATTTACTCACAATCAGCCACTATGTAACAGCGACAGAATTTGCATAAAATCTTTATAGCTGTGAAATCGATATGGTACAATGTAACCAATAAAATCAATTGGAACGGAAAGGCACTATTAAAAGTCACTAGATACTTAAGCAATCTCAAAACGTAACCCAAACATGGAATGGCATGCTCCACGCTCAAAGATTTTGACAAAACACAAAATCACGTTTACTAAGCGATTATTGCATAAAAACGATGACAATACTGAACAATGATACATTGGAATACAATTTGATACAATCCCCAAAAATAAACAATTCATAAACGTAAAAGTACGAAACTTCTCTTACCCGCACCATACATACGGACCGACCGACACTAGAATCAACTGCAACAGAACGAATAAATCTGTTCCAACTAAATACGTTCGAATACTTCTTCAGTGTATCGATTGAACCGATTGATCTGAAGACAAACTGTGGTCAGCACGGAAAACAAACTGATGAATAAATGCGTAGGAATGATACGACTCAACACTTTGCAATGATCTGTAATGTTATCATCTGCAAAAGTGTTACGAGCACAAACACCAGAGCTAGTCCAC